ACAGTTGACATACATTGCATTACATGCATACGATGGCATACGTGCATTTACATGCATACATGCATACATGCATACGTGCATACGTGCATACATGCATACATGCATACATGCACACATGCACACATGCACACATGCATACATGCATACGTGCATACGTGCATACATGCATACATGCATACGTGCATACGTGCATACGTGCATACATGCATACATGCATACATGCATACATGCATACATGCATACATGCATACGTGCATACATGCATACATGCATACATGGATACGTGCATACGTGCATACGTGCATACATGCATACATGCATACATGCATACATGCATACATGCATACATGCATACATGCATACGTGCATACGTGCATACGTGCATGCGTGCATACGTGCATACATGCATACATGCATACATGCATACATGCATACATGCATACGTGCATACGTGCATACGTGCATACGTGCATACACGCATACATGCATACATGCATACATGCATACATACATGCATATGTGCATACGTGCATACATGCATACATGCATACATGCATACACGCATACATGCATACGTGCATACGTGCATACATGCATACATGCATACATGCATACATGCATACATGCATACATGCATACGTGCATACGTGCATACGTGCATACGTGCATACTTGCATACATGCATACATGCATACATGCATACATGCACACGTGCATACGTGCATACATGCATACATGCATACATGCATACATGCATACATGCATACCTGCATACATGCATACATGCATACATGCATACATGCATACATGCATACATGCATACGTGCATACGTGCATACGTGCATACATGCATACATGCATACATGCATACCTGCATACATGCATACATGCATACATGCATGCATGCATGCATACATGCATACATGCATACATGCATACATGCATACATGCATACGTGCATACGTGCATACGTGCATACGTGCATACGTGCATACCTGCATACGTGCATACGTGCATACGTGCATACGTGCATACAGGCATACACGCATGAAGGCATACATGCATACATGCATACATGCATACGTGCATACGTGCATACGTGCATACGTGCATACGTGCATACGTACATACAGACAGACAGACAGACAGACAGACAGACATACGCACATACGCACATACGCACATACGCACATACGCACATGCGCACATGCGCACATGCGCACATGCGCACATGCGCACATATGCACATACGCACATACGCACATACGCACATACGCACATACGCACATACACACATACGTACATACGCACATACGCACATACGCACATACGCACATACGCACATTCGCACATACGCACATACATACGCACAAACATACATACATACATACATACATACATACATACATACATACATATATATACATACACACTCATATATTTACACAGAACATACAACAACTATATAGGTATGTCATGAGAAATGCTCCCCCAAGTGCCACCCATTGGAGACCAAGCCTTGGTCGACAGCCTTAGGAGTTTCCACTTCGTGAGGCCGTTGAAGAAGTCTGCACGATGATTGGTTGTATCTAGCCAATCTTTCTTAAAATCCTTAGGGTTATCCTTAGGGTTATCCTTAGGGTTATCCATAGGACTATCCTCAGGGTCATGTATATATATATATATATACATATATCTACAGTATACATATATATATATATACATACACAAATAAATATTTATAGCTTCACCCGAAGTATTGTCGCCAGCTTCACCATCACCGAACATCCCCGAATGTTCTGACCTCCCCATCTGCAGCCAACTTATCGGCCAGGCATTGACCACCATCCAAAATGCGGTGGGACACATGCGTCATCTGCAGGAATGCACCGGCGAGAAGGCGCCGCTCAAATTTTGTGTCCCCAAAACGGATGGGGAAACGGGGAAACGGGGAAACGGATGGAATACCCATGGTACCCTATTTTTGGGACAGAACTTATAGGGAAAATGATAGTTTGAGAAAAACAAACATATATCTTGGATACCTATATCGGACCTAGCTGCAGGATACATGTGTGGAGGGAGTTTCATTTTGGGCCTTCCATGTTTTGCGGGATAAACCAGATGAGACCAGCCAACGGGGTGGAAAACAATCACTGCTAACAGAACTGGATGAAAGGAACACATGCAGATGGCACAGGTTACCAAGGTTGCTAAGAGGACAGGGCCCTGTTGAACACACCACCCAACTTGCACAAATTTGTCTTTGTCCAAGAATTGGCGGCGCCAAAATTCAGCGCTTTTGAATGTAAATTTTCCATATTTTTCCAATTTTCTATGGCCCCAAAAATATCATAAGTTGAATGGAAATCCCAAGATTTTGCGAGGCATAGGACTTCACAAAATCCATCACCATAATATGATAATGGTAATACCCTCTGGTAATTTAACATGGCTATTGAAAATGGTCATTGATAGTGGATTTTCCCATGAAAAATGGTGGATCTTTCCATAGCTATGTTAGTTTACCAGAGGGTAAGATGTATAATTACAACTATTGTAATACTATTCATTACCTGATTAATAGAGATTAATACTATTACTAGATATGAATTGTAATATACAATATTAACTATAGTTACCATTACTACACTATGAATATGATCTGATTTTACCCATTGCCAGTTTCTCCAACTCTCCGCCCACGTTTCGTCGAAGGTTGACCTGGACAACGCGCACAACGTCCCTTTGGCAAAAGGGCTGCGAGGGTACTCTTTTTCACGAATCAGACATGGCAATGGGAAGCCACTGTTGATAGATATATATATATACACATGATAATAAATATAGGTATATATTTTCACTCCATAAATGGGATTGTAATATATTTTGGCAAAAACACAATCAGGTTATGCTTACGTGGTGGTTTGGAAGTCTGGGAAATTACAATTCTAATAAATATTTTACCATATTTTACCCATCGTTATTGGCAAATGTCCACATCTATGTTAGTTTACCCTAGGGTAGATGCTGCGGCGTTTTAGATGACTTTTGATTCACAAATCTGCACTGACCCATTCTTATAAAAGAGGCTACATTCCCAAAGGGAATTCCAAGGTGAGCTCATTCCCGGTTCACTGATGTTTTTTTTCACCAACAAATCTGCGACTTTTTTCGTGCCTGCGGCAACTAAGATCGCGCAGATTTGTCAGGGTGTGGGTTTCATCGGCCTGGCAATGTGGTTGATCTTCGCCAACAACTCGAAGGCCGGCTGCGCCTGAGAGGTTCATCCCAAATCGCTGGGTGATTAGTGGTACTGTGCCGTGAACAAATATGATTGGCAAAGACTATCAGCCTAAAACAATCAAATGTTTCAAGTGGGTAGTTTATCATAATTATACAAGCCCTGGGCCAGCCCTGAGTATCTTTGTTGACCTTGGATGTCTCGCTCCTCACACACTCTTCACATCGCTTGACTCCATGTTGCAGGATTTGCTGCGACATTGCCAGTCGCAAACACATCACAGTCTCATAGTTTGGCAGCCCTAGTTGGTCCCTAGTTCCTGATTTCACAGTGCATGTGAAGAATTGGGGATTCCTTTTTGACCCCTGACTTAGATGTGACTGTGATTTGAGTCTCAGCATCTTCCATGCGTTAGTGAGGGACGTCTACCGGACACCATGGTGACATTTGCCTAAAATCCAGGGACTTTGTGTAACGTGTCCATCGTAGAGGCAAGGTGTGTGATGATTGTCCTCTGGTAATTTAGCCTGGCTGATGATGGGATGTCTCAATTTTTCATGCAGAATATATAGGAAAATCATCCTACACATGGTTGATTTTCCACTACCAATGGATATATTTTGTTACACCACCGAGGCTTCCTTTGCAAAAAGAGGTTTTTCGGTGAAAGTGTCTCGAACTCCCAAAATATGGTTTCACAGGAACAGGGCATATCCATGGGACCAAAGCCGCTTTCAAATAGCCAATTTTCACTGGGAAAGTATCTAAGATTGACCCCAAGATTAGCCAACATCTGTGGGGTAAATACATATCCCTTCTCTTTCTGGTAATATTTTGTCACCATATCCCCATCTAGTTGCCAGCAACCTGGGCTTCTTGTGCCCTCTGACTAGTCTGATTCGCATCTTTTTCGGAGTTAGAGATGTAATATCAACTAATCATGTGTCCAAGAGTCAAAGAAGATTCGGGTTGTTGTCCCATAGGTATTATATATATATATGTATATACATATACTTATCAGCTATATATATATAGTAACTATATATATAGTAACTATATATATATATTGCTCCATGTTTGTCCCCATGTCCGTTCTTATCCCCAACAGGTGGCTGTGGCTCAGATGCTGGGTGTGAAAATGGGATAAATACACACGGCAGCTTTTCATTGGGAAGATGATCATAAACCCGTGGGAAAAATAGAGAGAATGATCAACCAATATTAACCATGGGATTTTGGTGGCACCATATTTCTTAGAGCCAATTCTTGGGGAAAGTTGAGGCCTGGAAGAGGGTGTGCCGGGGTGAGCCAAGGAGTGGGTAGAAGAGTGGGTGGTTTAGGCATGTTTGCTAAATTTTTAGATGAACAAGTTAATGGATGAGCAGTTGACCAGCTTGGGAGGCAGGCTTAGCGAATGAGGGAGTGGGCGAGTGAGTTAACGTGAGGTGAGACCAGGGTGGAGCGAATGGCTGCGACCCATACCCGCCATACCCTGGACCCACACGCGATCCTCTACACGTAACTCACTCCTTCCGTACGTCCGGATCACTGCGGAACGATCCAGACTATGATATACACCCACATACACGCATATAATCATAAATGAATATATATATATAATATTACAAATATTTCCATATACTATACCCATATATATATATATTACAATGGATATTGCTATCTATGTATCACTCGATATCTTCCTATTTGTTGGACAAGATGCCCTCCTCAGCGAGTTGCGCGCTTCTTGACTGAGGAAGGCGCCGTTGGAACAACGTCACGCGGTGTGTGCCTGGGGAAAATCGTAACCGGAAAGCCATGGCTTTTTACCAACTTTTAAGGGGAGATTACTGGGTGATATTGTTGGCATGTTTGACCAACTTGATGTGGTTTCCATCCTTATAAAATGATTAAAATGGGATGAACAGGAAACCATGATTACTCTCATGAAATGTGAAGTTTCCGGTGCCAATTTTCCCTTAATCCAAGAGGACAGGAGACACGTGCCAAGTAACCACGTTGCTTTTGAGGGTCAGGGAGCCAAGATCATGGTATCCGAGAACCGCCTTTCACTAACAGCTTCTGCTGGTGAATGAAGGGAGTCCTCCAGTGCAGGATCAGTTCAGTACTGAACTGGGGATCATAAACTACCGAACCGACATCAAGTGCAGATGATTTTCCCACTGGAAACAAGGTTTTCGCACTTCCGTGGGTGTTTTGTGTCAGGTATTTGAGGCAGTCTCATGGTGGTTTGGAATCCCAACAACCCAACCACCAGTTGACCGTTGGTCGAAGCATAATAAGTCACCAGGGCCCAAACCATTCGGGACAACCAGAAACCAATCTTCAGGTGCCAACAATTAGTCATTGTATGGTGGTGGCCACATCCCAATAGAATTGTTGCTCGAATTTCTCATTTGTTCCTAGTTAAATAGACCGTGGGAATGACGAGCAGCTGGGGTTGTCTCACCCATGGCTTGAGACAACCCAGCTGGCTAAGCCCAAGTTTGACCCACGCCCAGGTGTGTCGGTGTAAGATGGTGAAGTTTGTGAAGTTGGTGAATGTAGCCATATAATTAGTATGAGATTGGGACAATATAGTTATCATATATTATGTACTCACTTAATTATATAAGTTGGTCGGTCCCATATCATATCCCAATCTGTTGCTTCGCCCCGGCCACCGAGCGGCCGTAGGTGCCACCATCAGTACTGCTGTGGCCCTCTTCTCCGGCTTCTTCAACATCTTGCAGCTGACAGCCATTGATGACTTCGACCTGCCGGGACGTGAGAACAACTTCACCCTGAACTTGCGCCTTGCGCGTTGGAAAAAATGGGGGATGTTGAACCACCGCATCACGGATTTTCCGGAATGTGGTTGAAATTCCTCTAGGATGGGCCCCAAATGATAGATCCAATACTCAACCAGGGTTTAGTTTGGAGGGTATTTAGATGTATTTAGTATCAGGAAGGTAGTACTTAGTACATGAATTTTAAGCGAAACTTGCGGAGCAGGCCCAGAAAGTGGTTGAGATTGCCTATACGAAGTGAAATGAGGATTGGGATGGGTTCTATAAGACATCATACAGTCTTGACTTCTGAGTCAGTTGAGGGATGGGTGTCCCTCCAAGTGGGCATTCTTTTGAGGGATTAGTTGGCCTTGCGATTTTTCGGGGTTTCAAGTTGCGGGCCATGCATGAGTGCAGTCAGAGCTGAGCCTTGTCTATAGAACGTATACATATAGAACGTATATATATATACATATACACATATACATAGGACCTGTACAATGCAAGAACAGCCAGATATACATACATACATACATACATACATACATACATATATATATATACACATTTATGTGTATCTATGTATATCTATGTATATAGTGTATATATATAAATCTATGCATATATATACAGAGACATAGACATATTATATATATGTATATACACTATATATACATACAAATGTATATTTATATAAATGTATCTTCATATAAATGTATATTGATATAAATGTATATTTATATAATTGTACATATATTTATATACTTGTACATATATTTCTATACATGTACATATATATATATATATATATACATATGTACACACATGGTACACATTCGTATGAGTCAATATCCTGGTACCTTGACACCTTCAAGCCGGGTCTTTGCTGAGGTCCCGTCCCATCGAATGGATCATGACCTGTCCCATCATGCAGTTGAAGCTGGTGGTGCTTGCAGGACGGACTCGGCAATTCGATAGCGCTTGGTTTCGCCAAAACAAAAGGTGTCACCATGGAAAAAACCGGGGGTACCATGAAAAATAGCTGGAAAATAGGTGGGTAATATGAAAAATGAAGCTGGAAAGTGGGGGGTTTCACCATGAAAAATGGGGGTTTATGTCACAGCCATTTGAGTTTAATTAGTTTAATTGTTTTTTTTTGCTGATTTGAGCAGCCTACATTGGGGATAATAAAAACTTATTGTCCAAAGGTAGAGGTGCGAAACAAACCGTTTGATGGGGACATCATGGGGAAAGAAATGGATACCATGGATGAACCATGCGAAACCAAGACATCTGGACACAAACTGGAAAGCATCACTCATTAGACTACCCTACCGTAAACTAACATAGCCATTGAACATGGCCCATTTAGAGATGATTTGTTCATGGTGATTTTCTATAGCTATGCTGAATTAGCATAGTTTGCCTTGGCATTCGCAGAGTAGATGTGCAATCATCTCTGAACGGCTCGGACGATAAGGCAAGGCCCCAGGCAGCAACCATTGACTTGACACATGGTGAACCGGATAGCCGTCGCAACTTCCAGGCTCAAGTGGGAATGGAATTACTATTTAAATACCTGTAAATACCTGGCCTGGCAGGTTGAAACCCAATTTTGATAGGAGATATACCAAGTTGAGTTCCTCAAAGCCCCATTTCTTTGCTTAAATCCCAGTTTCAAAGCCATTTCAACAGGAGCAACCCATTGATACCCCACTGGAGCAACTGCCAGGAGCACGCGTTCCGAGCTATCGTCGCTTCATGTGCCGTGGTGTGGCAGTTGGGGCCGTTGGGGCCAGGGGTATCCGGGGTATCCAGTTGTGGTGGCTGATTTGTCAGTTAAGATATAGCCACAAATCTGAATATGTTGGACTTAGATTTGTGGCTATGTACATTTAGCAATTGGAAAAAAATGGCCACTAAAGATGGATCTAGACCATCGAGGAATTTAGGCCACAAATATTGTGACTTCTTTTGTGATGTGGGGATTATCCATCGCTCTAATTCCAATTATCTATGTATGCGAAATATATACTATACTACACAATACAATAGGGGATTCAACCAACAAAATATGGGGCTTTCACAAATCAAGATATAGCCATATAGCCAACAAAACATGGGTAACATGGGTTTGTGTCTACACCCATTTTTTGGCGTTTTTTCACATCCAGCACAAACAGCAACTCTTTTAGTGTGAGAACTGAGGTATCAGGGAGTGTTCCACAGGAAAGTACATCGGGAATCACCTGACCTGGGCCGTAAGGATGCCGCTGATGTCTGTGTCTGTGCTGCTGTGTGGAACCGCATCAATGTTCACAGGACTGAGATTTTTCCTGGCGGTGCCAGGTCTAATTGTTGGAGGCTATGGGTTGAATACTTGGCAGCTACATGCATAGATACTATTTACTATGTACATACTATACGTATATATATATATAATATGACACATACATAATATACATGCTAGGAAAACCATTGGACCACATCTCTATCTACGATCGTAACCTTAATTTTGATCTTACTCTAAATCTAGATATAATCAGATCAAATTTATCCAATCTAGTACCGCTCTATATCTATATCTATATATCTATATATCTATATATCTATATATCTATATATCTATATACCTATCTATATATATATATATCTATTAATATATATATATCTATTAATATATATATATCTATATCTATATATCTATATATCTATATATCTATATATCTAAATATCTATATATCTATATATCTATATATCTATATATCTATATATCTATATATCTATATATCTATATATCTATATGTATATATGTATATATGTATATATGTATATATGTATATATGTATATATGTATATATGTATATATGTATACATGTATATATGTATATATGTATATATGTATATATGTATATATATATATCTATATCTAATATCTCTATCTCTTTCTCTATCTCTATCTCTATCTCGATCTCTATCTCTATCTCTATCTCTATATCTATCTATCCATCTATCTATCTTTTATCTATCTTTTATCTATATCTATCTATCTTCCTATCTATCCTATCCATCCTATCCTATCCTATCCAATCCAATCCTATCCTATCCTATCCTATCCTATCCTATCCTATCTATCCTATCCTATCCTATCTATCCTATCTATCCTATCTATCCTATTTATCCTATCTATCCTATCTATCCTATCTATCCTATCTATCCTATCTATCCTATCTATCTATATACACCACTATATATTTATGTAATTATATATATATAGATAGGTATGTAGACGCGCAATCCAAGATGTGTTTGTGTATGTATGTTTCTCTCTATTTTTCTATCTCTATCTCTCTCTCTCTCTCTTTCTCCCAGAAGAATATATAAACTGCGCAAATTGGGTCAAATTGGCATCTCTTAGTAATAGCAGGGAACTCTTCGGAACCCAGGTCAGGAACCCTTGCGAATGGGGGCGAACTGTCGGCTACCCTCCGGTAATCGGCTTGCTGGAAAATCTCCCATTTAGTTCGATGTTTTTCCCCGCAGTGCGGGGATTTTCCAGCCAGCCGTTTTTGATCACTAACCAGTATTGACAAATCCCGAATAATTCACCAATTACCCACTATTAAACATGTTCGCTGCAACCTGGATGTTTGCCCGGAGTTGATGCTCCGCCTTCCTGATTTTGATCCCTCATAAAGATAACGTTGATGTTATTACCCCATTCAACATGTTGGTCATAAGGGGTGGCGAATTTTGATCCCTCATGAAGATAAAGTTGATGTGATTGCCCCTTTCAACATTGGTCATAGGGGGTAGCAAATTTTGACCCCTCATGAAGATAAAGTTGATGTTATTACCCCATTCAACATATTGGTCATAGGGGGTAGCAAATTTTGACCCTTCATGAAGATAAAGTTGATGTTATTACCCCATTCAACATATTGGTCATAGGGGGTGGCGAGTTTTGATCCCTCGTGAAGATAAAGTTGATGTTATTTCCCCAATCAACATATTGTTCTGAGGAGGTGGCGAATTTTGATCCCTCATGAAGATAAAGTTGATGTTATTACCCCCTTCAACATTGGTCATAGGGGGTGGCAAATTTTGATCCCTCATGAAGATAAAATTGATGTTATTATCCCAATCAACGTATTGTTCAGAGGGGGTGGCGAATTTTGATCCCTCATGAAGATAAAGTTGATGCTATTTCCCCAACCAACATATTGTTCTGTTATGTCACATTTGTGAGTCTGGGCGAACGTCAAGGTTGCGGACAACATGTTTTGATGCTTAATATTTTACTATTCACAAATTTTACTATTAACTCCATTTTTTTCTCAACTGACTGTATGTCCCGGCAGGAGATGCATTGCGCTATGCTTGGTGGCATGGCAAGAACATGGCGATAGCGATGGGGGACCTGATGTGAAAGGCCTCAATTTGTGGGAGTTTTCTAGGAATTTTATGGGCCGTACATGGGGATACTAGTGGGCATACTAGAATATATAGCCAATTTGAGATGATTTTGGGTTTGCCTGAAACTGATATATATATATATATACACTGTGAAACTTGGATGAGGCTTTCTCAAGCCCATTGCCAGGAAAACAAACGAAAGGTTCCGGAATCTCCGCTACTCACTGCATGCAAAGGGGGGCTGACGGAGTATGCAACACCCTGGTCCCAGAAACGGGGCCGCCATGTTGGAAGTCTTTCCTTCTTCCGGCAATATTGCGGCCCCGTTTTTGGGGCCAGTTTTTGTCCCCATTTTTGGCACCACGAAAGAGTAAACAGGAGCTGCTCGACGGTCCTGACAGCCCGGATTTCGTCCATTTGCTGGCACCAGCCTTCCTTCTGCAATGCAAGCCGCCATGGACACACTTTCCGGGACCGCAGGAAGCCATGCTAACTTCTTGCGCTCTGGCAGCGTGCCGCCTTTACAACGCTTCTGTCAGGAAGCTGTTTTGCGTGCATCTTGGGAGAAGTGTGTGGCGTGCACTTGTTGCCGTGCATCCCGTCCGCGCGCTTTGGAATATACTATAATATGCGGCCAAAGTGCTAAGAGGGACGTAATCCCTCATTTACATGCAGGTTTGAGGGGCGTAATCGGGACGTACGAGGGGCGTAACCACAGATGGGAGGGACGTAATCCCTTATTTACATGCGGGTTGGAGGGGCGTAATCGGGACGTACACGGGGCATAACCACAGATGGGAGGGACGTAATCCCTTATTTACATGCGGGTTTGAGGGGCGTAATCGGGACGTACAAGGGGCGCAATCACAGATGGCAAGGGCGTGATCCTTTATTTACATGCAGGTTTGAGGAGCAATAGTGTCGGGTAGCGTGGTCTCCTTGGAGTTTGTCCACATGGGGTTCTACACCCCTTGCCTGTTTTCGAGCCACATGCCTTCCCAAACATAATCCGTTGCAATTGGTTTCCTCACAGTTCGGTAGTGGAAAATGCGTTTGGCTGTCAGTCGGCTTGTGGTCAAACGCTCCCACCAGGGCCTGTTTTTGGGGCCGCATCCACATATGAAAAATGCATTCTTGATGGTGGGCCCTCAATGTATATATATATATATATCCCGAGACATTGTCATAGGGAAAATCAGCTGTGGCAGTGTCGAAGATACACCTAAAGGACCTAAAGGCTGTTCCTGCAGGATCTCAGGTGATTGGTGGCCTATGATCTTTTACATCCTGCTTTACATATGGGGATTTCCTAAAATAGGGGCACCCCTAGTCATTGTTTGGGATTTTCCATGAAATGAAACATCCAGCGAGCTTGGGGTACCCCTCATTTTTGGAAACCTCCATATGGTTTCATGTATTGATTCATGATGTTTCATTTATGATTTAGTCCCTCCACCGGATGTGGAATCCCATCTCAAGGACGCCGACATGATCAGCCACCGAGGTACGCATTCGGCCTGTTCTTGGCTGGAATCATGTTTTACCACAACGCTGTAGCTGGACCAAATTAGTACCCTCTGGTAATTGAAGATAGCGATAATCACCGTTTTTAGTAGGTAAACAATCTTGAATGGGCCATTTTCCATAGCTATGTTGAATTACCAGATGGGGAGAAACGGGTCTGGGTAAGGGGCAGGGTTTGGGGCAGGAGAGGTAGTAAGCCTTGCGGTTGCCAATTATTTGTATTTTTGTTGGACGCTAGAAGTCTTCAAATGAGGGTTTAAAACCAGTGGATTGTTCCTATTAAACCATAGTAAAACCATAGTAATGCCATAGATAGACAATTTCACCATTTCTGTCGTAACATGCAGTTTCACTTGTAAGTCTTCCAGACGACAATCTTCCAATCCATTAGCTCCCACGTGGTTGTGACTTCTGGTGAAGTCGCTGGACCGGTTGTCACCAACATGCTTTCGCAGGTTCAGGATTATGCAGTACATTGAATCCATATTTCTTCAGAGTGATGCTCAATCCACTTTCTTTGTAGGTCAATAGCTATGCAAATCCTCATGATTGCTGGTTAAATCCCTGTTTTGCAGGCAACATCCCCGTTTTTGCAGGTGGAAACCACATTCTTTGCAGACCCAGATTTGGATTTTTGCAGTTCAAATCCCATTTCATTAAGACTTCCACCATAGTTTTGGCCACTGCTCAGATTCAAATCAAAGAGAACTCTGAGAACGAAGAGACCATCTTTCAAGGACGTTGGCCTGGCTACCGTGGCGCAGCCAGGTAATAATATATTCGAGATTTGTCTTTATCTCTATCTTTACCTTGATCATTGTCATTGTCATCGTCATCATCATAGTCAGCATCATCATCATCATCATCATCGTCATCGTCATCATCATCATCATCATCACCATCACCATCATCATCATCATCATCATCGTCATCGCCATCGCTATCATCATCGTGGTCATTAACTTATCTACGTCAACATGACATGGTTATATCCTTAATACTGCTGTCGTTGTTGGTTACCTTCTGTGATACAAAGGCAATTTTCCGATCCGTGCAAATACCTCTGCAATTGGTTTATGACAGAGGTGTTGGTTGCAGAACAGCCTTCCTTGCCTCGCTAAGGGCAACCTGCCAGGGCAATCTGGATACATGACAATTTGGCACAGCACTGCCTGAATGGCCACAGAAACTAGCTTGAACGAAACATCATCCAAGAATGAGGCCGCATCGCAGCAGTAAAGCTGGAACTAACAGACCTGGTGATATAATCAGCAACACCCAGGTAGCGCTGGGGCGGTATATTTGACAATGTTCAGTGGCCATAGGAAAGGAAGAACCCATAGGAAGGGTCACTGACTGACATTAGTGTTGGATTGATTGAATGACCCTGAGCCACTTGTTCTCTGAACTACTTTTTCTTTGCGCTACCTCTGCCCTTAGCCAACTCTTCTCTGAGCCATTTCTTTTTTGAACGAGCAAACCTGAGCCAACTCTTTCAACTCAGCTCTGAGCTACCTCTTCTGTGCCGCAGTTCTCCTCTTCCACAGCGTCTCCACGGTGTTTAGCAACCACGAGGTGCATTCCCACATGGCGAGTGGCATCACAGCCAAAACCCATCAATGGCGCAGCAGTTTCACTGCGTTTTGCAAATGCCAGTGGCAGTCTCGCACACGGACGTACCAAATCGACGCCATTTTGCACGAATCAAAATCGAGCTCTCGCTACATTCTTGTGGACTTTTTGCCGGGACTTGATTGAAAACAGTTTTCTCAAACTGACTACGACACTAAGGAACCAGAAGGAACCCTTACCAGTACCAGTTCCAATTGGATGTAACAACCTATAAATTGGTGGTAATGTAATACTGTAGATGAACATCGATTGAGTGGATATGAAGAAACCAAAAATGCGGATAGGAACCAAGAACCACCTGCTTCAAACCCTTGCAGGAGACTCTGACTTCCGCAAGCTTTCCATCCTGTTGATCATCACCTGGTTCCCCTTCCCAATCTGGTTCAGTTTGAGCCGGGCCCCCCAGGGGTTGCCGCCTGCAATGGTCTCTCCATCGAGCCAAAAAGCGAGGAATTTTACAATTTGTTACCATCTGTCTTATGTTGGATATGTCGGATTCTGTTGGATATACAAATTGATTGTTCATTCACCATATATATTTCCCCATCTTATCCATATATATATATTTCGCCACATCCGGTCCATCCAACTGTCTTAGTCCACCATTTTTCTACCTGACGCCTCAGGTGTGGAGGGCTTCGGCGTCATCAAGGACGCTTTGGTCATTGAGATGGGATGGGTGATTCTCAACATCGTCTCCAAGCGCCTGGGCAAAACTGATCTTAGCAAAAACTGCCTCATTTTAGCAAAATCCTTCTGAAAATAGTGAGAAATCATGATAAATCACATGTCTATTGTAGAGCTTTGAACACCGGCGATGCCATAAGGGTTATGTATAGTAGTGTGAGAGTTGGTGTTGTTCATGTGCTCTGCGCGTGCGCGCAGGTGCAGAGCACAGTGTGATGTTCTTGTCGTACCGCAGCTTGAAGCCATCTTACCACACATCATTTTGTCGCATTTTTGTTCTTCTTCTTCTTGTTCTTCTTGTTCTTGTTCTTGTTGTTGTTGTTCTTCTTCTTGTTGTTGCTGCTGTTGTTGCTGTTGTTGCTGTTGCTGTTGCTGCTGTTGTTGCTGTTGTTGCTGTTGTTGTGTTTGTTGCTGTTGTTGCTGTTGTTGCTGTTGTTGCTGTTGTCGTCTGTTGTCGTTGTCGTTGTCGTTGTCGTTGTCGTTGCCGTTGCCGTTGCCGTTGCCGTTGTGGTTGTGGTTGTGGTTGTGGTTGTGGTTGTTGTTGTTGTTGTTGTTGTTGTTGTTTTTGTTTGTTTGTTTGTTTGTTTGTTGTTGTTGTTGTTGTTCTTGTTCTTGTTCTTGTTCTTGCAGCACAGCTTATTTTCCCATTTTTGTGGACACAAGTGCAACAACGCTACACTAATTACACCACACTACAGCTACAACTCCACTACACTACTAGTACGGCTACAACTGCACTACACCACACTACATCCAGCAGTTGTGGTGAGGTGACCACTGCAACCATTAACAGCCACTCCAAAAAGGAACAACTCCAACCACCTTTCGGTCCATCAGTGGATTCGGTCTGCCATCCGTGATTCACAACAACTCACCTTTCCTATAGGCTTCCTATTTTGAAACTTTTGCCACCGCCTTGTGCGGTACTACTGGTACTTATGTTTCTTGGTCTTTCGTTTGTATACATGTATGGTGTTAAACATTTTACCTTTTATTGCCGACAGAAGCCTTGCCGCCTGCTCAAGAAACATATTTCTATGAATCTTTACAAAAAGGCCCGCCACAGGCGCCACTTTTGAGCATTTGGATTGTCGCTCAAAAAGGATTGCTTCCACCAATTTGAAAGATATCTAAGAAATGGACATTGCGAATATGTATTGGATTTTAAGGATATTTTATCTACTCATTTGTTTCAATGTTTTCATTTTGTACTTTTTATCCATTTTTTTTTAAAGAAACACTATTTTTAATTGATATATATATATGTCTTTCTATTTTTACTTATTTGTTTTTCGTTTTTTATTTTTTTTAAAACTTATTCTCAGTTTTTCAATTTTCTTATTATATATATATATTTATTGTTTTTGTTTTTTAATATAACTTGTTTATTTTTAATTTTTAAAAACGTTCATTAGGGCTGGCCTTGAATTTAAGGAATTTCAACTTTTTTCCACGTTTATTATTTTTGAAAAATGATTGAAATTCAATGTGTTTTTCCGATAAATCACCGTGGAAAAATCAAAACCCCTTAGGTTTTTTAAACATTTAATTTCAATCTTTGTTTTCGAAAAGAATCAGTGAAAAAATGTCGAAATTCTTTGCATTCAAGGCCAACCCTTGAATTTACGGAATTTCCGCAGAGATATGGAATAAACAGAAAAGTATAAACACATAAAAAAAGTAAAACAAATAAAACAACTAAAATATTAAAAAAACATAAAAAGATCAGTGTAAACAAGTGAAAAAATAAGACGAAATCGGGGCCGTGTCTCGAAATTAGTTGCGCAATCATTTTTTCAGCCAAGGATCCCCGCACATTTGATTTGTTGCATTTTGCATACTGCATGCACCTTATTTCCAGGGACAGACCTCAAATACAACCCTGCCACCTTATTTACGAAAGTTAACGCACATGTTCACACACACATGCAAATATTCTGTACGTGTACCTACTTGTCTCTCTCTCTCTCTATATATATATGTATGTATATATATATATAACGTATTCAATACACGTATGCTCCCGCACAAAAAACGTAGCCAGAGTGAGCACCCTGATCAAGCACCGGCCTTTACACCGACCATATGAACCCCTCAGTGTGGACACACTGTTTGGGGAACAAGTCAGCACACATAGGGTGATTAAACACACATATTTCTACAACAACGGTGGTTTATATCCTACCTAGTGGGCAGTTGCCATTGTATTTGCACAGCTGCTGCCTGTAACACCATTGGCCCACCTGTCCAACGCGACTCGGTCCCAGGTTCACCTACATCATCTGGATGCAGCGCATGAAGACACGTGGTCGCCATGGCCATTGGTTGAACTAGGGCGTTAACAACAACACCAACAAGTTGTAATTTAGCAATCGACAATGGGAGTTTTAACCATCACACGGATATTGATATAGCCAACATCAGAAAATTAGTCACCAAACGTCGAACAAGGATCAAACATAGTGATTCTGTCATGTAAAATCTGGATTCGACTAGGGGGTTTAGTAGAAAATGGTTCAATCTGAAAAGATGGGGATGCATCAGCAAAATCGCAGGCCGTGGTTTTGAATCAAAAATTTGGCCATGGGTCTAAAACTTTTGGTCGGCTGAAATGGGCCTGCAACCATCTTCTATGGGGTGATTTCAGGCGGATCATCTTACATCAAAACAGAAACATCAACACAATAAGCACCAACATTACCATTTTCTAAGTATTTCGTTGTTGATGTTTGTTGGTTCTTCCCCTTTTTAAACAGCTTCCCACAACTGGTCCTTTTTGGAATCAGTCAAAATTGGGGCTGCGGTTTGTTGAATCCTAGTTTTTGATTGTTGACTCCATCCATTTTTGATTCTAAAGCCTAGTTTTTGATTGTTGACTCCATCCATTTTTGATTCTAAAGCCTAGTTTTTGATTGTTGACTCCATCCATTTTTGATTCTAAAGCCTAGTTTTTGATTGTTGACTCCATCCATTTTTGATTGTAACATTGTAAAACCACATTAAAATCACCATTTTCGATGGTTGAATCATCTTGAATGTAATTTTCACTGGTGAACTTCTTCCTGCGCCAAGGATGGTGCACCAGCGCAAGTTGGAGGCTGCCCGCGAGCTCTATGGCCTCTCCCCCACGGACGAGGTTGCAGAGGCCTGAGTTTGAGTGATTTGAATGGAGATAATCATGGGATTGGGAAATATCACCGACCATATGATTTGGGGCGCCCGTTTTACAAGGGGACAACCAAAAGATGCTGTTCCTTAAGGGACCCAGCTATTTTTGGTGTGAACATCAGGGGACCAGCAGGCTGTTTTTCGGGGGTTTCCTACAGGGGAACCCAAGTGATCATACAATGTTGTTGGTCATTCTTAATGGGGAAAGCAACGACTACCTCTGGGGGTACCTCAATTTTTTATTAAAAACCAGTGAGCGCCCACGCTTGATTCGGTGCTTGGCATAATAAAGGCTCCGAGCTTTTCTATTTTTAATGACCCATATTTTGGAATTTGACCCAAATTGACAGATACTTTGGCGATTTATTGAAAACAACCCAGGGGTGCACCATCTCGAGCACAATCCTTGGACGCGACACGATAGCCTTGCGGGACAACACATGTCAGTACAGATTTGTATTGTACGTTTTAGTACAATCTTTTTAAAAAGTCTTTTGAACAATCTATTTTGTAGGTTTTAGTACAATCTACTTATTTTGGGATTGATATTGAACCAAAACCATGAGCTATACGGGGGCAACAAGCCTGCTTAACATGGGTCAAGCCATTGTAGAGGATGATCAGCCTACCGAGTCCCCCCTTGCTGGCGGTTGTATACTCCCACTGATGTCAGAAGCTGAATGCAAAAACATCCCAACTGACTATGCAATGCACGGTATTTTCTGGTATCCACCATGACCGTGGCTTGTTGACTTCCTATCATCATATTACGGCTGAAACAACACAGTGATTGGGTGGTTGAGTTGTCCAAACATGGGGTGACAAACCCAGATGTGGAGTGGATCTATGATCTATCGCAGTTTCAAACACTTTTTTTTAGCACAATCAGAATTTTCAGGGTGAAATCCACATTTTTCTTTGGTAAAACCAGCATTTTTGATGGTAACCCCGTAACCCCAAATATATCCATAGACATCCCTATGGATGGGATTTTCACCGCCAGGAGGATCTCAAGGAAAGGGCCAAGACCGGCTTGGCAGGCAGGGGATGGGAACGCAAAAAATCTTGGGAGCGACTGGAATTTGATGTTTGGACCTTGAGTAGATGTGAACACACTATTAAAAACGTGTCATAAAATATGATATATCGTGCACTTCATATGTTTCTGCAGGCTGCATTTCATATGTTTCAACTTGATTTTGATGACACCCTTTCTGATTTTTGATGATTTTGATTTTGATGATTTCATGATTCTTGATGTATATATAAATTGTGATGTCCCCTTGATGCTCTTTGATGATGTTTGATGACTGGAGAATGATGAATATTTTTCCTTTTCGATGATTTTTGACCACTTTCTCTCTCTCTCTCTATAGTAACTAAATAGCTGATAAATATATATATATATATATTAACTATATTTTCGGATGTTCCCCCTCCTTGTAACAGCCAAATAATGGATTTCCACATATCAGAGAAGCAAAATGAAGCACCAGGAAAATAGCCCAGAATGACATTAACTTTTCGGAGGATAGGTAAGAAATTTCATCATTCCATTTGGTGCTTTCTAACCCTTTATGTCTTGGTCCTCTTTTCCTTGGCATTTGTTTCATCAGGTGGCTTGGAGTTGGTGTCCAGCTCATCATTCTTTTCGTGATTCTCCCTCCAAGAATCCTACCACCATATCACATGTCATTCTCTAAGGTGCTGTCCTGTCTCCAATTCTCTCATTGGTCCCCCCCCAAAGTTACCAGACTGGGATCCTCTGTATTGCTTTGACATCCCATTGCCTTGACATCCCATTGGCTGTGACATCCCTTTGCTTTGGCATCCCTTTGCTTTGGCATCCCAGACATGTGGCATAGGTTGTGTTGTGTGATCATTTGAATTCAAAAGTGATTTGGGCCATGGGCCGCATGGATCTGATTCTATGATATGTTGCGGTCAGTCACACGGTATGGTCGGCCATGCAAAATCCTCAACCCTAAATCCTAAACTCATGCCAGTAAATCGGACATAGTTTAATGTTGATTGATGCAACAATGCAAATAAAAAAAAAAGCACAAGGAGAGGCCACAAACGGAGCACCAGCAGAGGCACCAGAAAGGACCAAACGGAGCACCAGGAAAGCTGCCGAAAAAAACCTTTGGGAGACAGCCTGTCCACGGTAACGTTGGCCAATTTCGGCTGTCCTTGTCGCCACGTGCGCTTTGCAAAAAAACACAATCAGAGACCACAAACGGAGCACCAGAGAGACCAGAGGTTTTGCCAAAACGGAGCACCAGCAAGTCCAATCAGAGAGCACAAACGAAGCACCAGAAAGTACAATCAGAGAGCACAAACGGAGCACCAGAGAGACCAGAGGTTTTGCCAAAACGGAGCACCAGCAAGTCCAATCAGAGAGCACAAATGCAGCACCAGAAAGTACAATCAGAGAGCACAAACGGAGCACCAGAGAGACCAGAGGTTTTGCCAAAACGGAGCACCAGCAAGTCCAATCAGAGAGCACAAATGAAGCACCAGAAAATACAATCAGAGACCACAAACGGAGCACCAGAGAGACCAGAGGTTTTGCCAAAACGGAGCACCAGCAAGTCAAATCAGAGAGCACAAACGAAGCACCAGAAAGTACAATCAGAGACCACAAACGGAGCACCAGAGAGACCAGAAGTTTTGCCAAAACGGAGCACCAGCAAGTCCAATCAGAGAGCACAAACGAAGCACCAGAAAGTACAATCAGAGACCACAAACGGAGCACCAGAGAGACCAGAGGTTTTGCCAAAACCGAGCACCAGCAAGTCCAATCAGAGAGCACAAATGAAGCACCAGAAAGTACAATCAGAGACCACAAACGGAGCACCAGCAGATCCAATCAGAGATGCATCAAGATACCCTTTTCAAATCCTTACTCACCGACCACAACCAGAGACCACAAACCGACCACCAGGAAATCAATCAGAGACCACAATCAGAGAGCACAAACGAAGCACCAGAAAGTACAATCAGAGACCACAAACGGAGCACCAGAGAGACCAGAGGCTTTCCCAAAACGGAGCACCAGCAAGTCCAATCAGAGAGCACAAATGAAGCACCAGAAAGTACAATCAGAGACCACAAACGGAGCACCAGAGAGACCAGAGGTTTTGCCAAAACGGAGCACCAGCAAGTCCAATCAGAGAGCACAAACGAACCACCAGAAAGTACAATCAGAGAGCACAAACGGAGCACCAGAGAGACCAGAGGTTTTGCCAAAACGGAGCACCAGCAAGTCCAATCAGAGAGCACAAACGAAGCACCAGAAAGTACAATCAGAGAGCACAAACGGAGCACCAGAGAGACCAGAGGTCTTCCCAAAACGGAGCACCAGAAAGTCCAATCAGAGAGCACAAATGAAGCACCAGAAAGCACAATCAGAGATCACAAATGGAGCACCAGAGAGACCAGAGGTTTTGCCAAAACGGAGCACCAGCAAGTCCAATCAGAGAGCACAAATGAAGCACCAGAAAATACAATCAGAGACCACAAACGAAGCACCAGAGAGACCAGAGGTTTTGCCAAAACCGAGCACCAGCAAGTCCAATCAGAGAGCACAAACGAAGCACCAGAAAGTACAATCAGAGACCACAAACGGAGCACCAGAGAGACAAGAGGTTTTCCCAAAACGGAGCACCAGCAAGTCCAATCAGAGAGCACAAATCAAGCACCAGAAAGCACAATCAGAGACCACAAAAGGAGCACCAGAAAATCAGCAAAAAAACTGTTTTTTTTTCCCAGAGATTCCCATTGACAATTGATTGTAATTGGCCAGCTTACCCAGCTCTCCCAGAACTACTTTGCATTACAAAGCTTGCACAAAGCACTTCCCAGTACTACTTTGTACTACAAAGCTTGCACAAAGCACTTCCCAGTAATACGTTGTACTACAATCACAAAGCACTTCCCAGTACTACTTTGTACTACAAAGCTTGCACAAAGCACTTCCCAGTACTACTTTGTACTACAAAGCTTGCACAAGCTACTTCCCAGTACTACTTTGTACTGCAAAGCTTGCACAAAGCACTTCCCAGTACTACTTTGTACTACAAAGCTTGCACAAGCTACTTCCCAGTACTACTGTGTACTACAAAGCTCGCACAAAGCACTTCCCAGTACTACTTTGTAGTGCAAAGCTTGCACAAAGCACGTTCCATTACTACTTTGCTTTGACAACCCATGCCTATGTTGATGGCACCATGGAGCTTCCGCAGGCGTAGTGGAAAAACAGTGTTTTCTGATTTGAGCATGGCTGTATGTTGGGACTTCTGATCAGAGATAAACTCAATTTGGAGCATTTTTGTGGTGCTCCGTTTGTGCTGTCCAGTTGTGGTCACTGTTACAAGGAAGGGGAACATCCGAAACTATATTATAATAACTATATTATAGTTTTTGCTGATAAATGGTTATGAATCAATAGCTAATGGTTAAAGCAAGAGTTGATAGTGGACCAACAGCACCGTTAGTTCACTCCCTGCTCTCAAAGAGAGGTCGAAAATTCTTGTTGATTGAACTATCATCCAGTCATATAGCCAATCTTTAAGCATAGAAATATCAAACTCATCGATCAAAGCTGCTTCAATGGGAATTGGAACTATTGAAAAATGATTAACATTGATGTATAATATATATATATATATTTATATATATATGGTCTCGTGTTCCGTGTTCCTACCCCCCCCAATGGTATGGGTCCCCAAGTAGCACCCCCTTCCCTTCTATTTGCAAGCTATTGGCAGCATTTTTTAAGGTCCAGCCTCGTATTTGCTACGTCTTTGCAGCATTTCTGACTACCAGCCTCGCATTTACTAGGTACATGCTACCTTTTAGACGACCTACGTAGCACACATACTCCCTCAAAGTACCTACGTGCTACCTGTAGTCATATATACATGTGCTATGTACCTACTTCCTATTTACTACTTTTACTACCTGTGTACTCTCACAACACTACATGTCTTGAAAATATCTTTCCTGCATACTAGGGACTTACTACGCACATGCTTCTATATCGTACTTATGAACTACTGTACCCGTATACAATCTAACGACGGTCTGTACCATCACCCCCTCACCCCCTAGCCCTTACTACCATAATTACTGTACCATACATACCAAAACCTACCAAACCTACCATGCACACCATACCAACCATACATGCTTTACTCTGGTATACATACGACACATGCTATACGAACTGTGACCATACATACCATACCTATCATACCTATCATACATACCACACATACCATACATATGAAACATAATTACCACACCTACCATACATACAGTACCAAACATACATGCCATACATGCCATACATACCATACATACCATACCTACCTTGCATAGCAAACATTCCATACCCATCATAGTAATCATACATACCATTGACCATACATGCTGTCATATCAAACATACCACACCCAACAGACTTACATACCATACCTACCATCCATACAATACCAATCATTCATGCCATACATACCATAGATACCATACCTACCATACGTACCAAACATACCATGCATTCCAAACATGCCATACCAGACCGACCATACACACCATACATACCGACATATCAAACATACCATACCCAGCATACTTATACACCACACCTACCATCCATACAATACCAACCATACATGCCATACATACCATGCCTGCCATACGTACCAAACATACCATACATTCCAAACATACCATACATACCATACCAACAATACATGCCAAACATACCATATATATCAAACATACCGTACATGAGATATATAATTACATACCATATTCACCATACCCACCATGTCATATATATATATGTATATATATATATGTATATACAATTATATACATATATTGTCATACATACACTACACCCCCCCGCACCACACACCCCGCACCACACCCCCCCACCACACCACAGGGGGACAGTACTATGGCTGACCCATGACCATGGTCGGGGGGGTTGGAACGCTGGCCCATATATATGATTATGTATACATGATTATTTATATATATATACACGTACAAACACAAGGACAACTTTTCTTCTTGACTAGCTGCTGCAACCGTCTCCCCTTAGACTCCTGACAGGGTTCATATGAATCACAAGGTGGATCGCGGATCAGCTGGTTTGCTTTAAGGTGACTCCAATGTATTCCGACTTGAAATACGACCCCCCACGCAGGCCACGCGAAGTGAAGCTGAGAGTAATGATATTTATAACACGCTAAAGGGGAAACACTTTCTTCCTCCTGATGTATATGATTATATGTATACATGATTATATATACCTATAAAAAAATATAACCGACCTTTCAGCTGGTTTAATTGGCGCCGTATTTTTGTAGGTAAACAGGGCGGCGCAATCACTGCCAGTGATTATGGCCTGGGATATGGAGAAGAGGCCTGGTGGTTACCGGGACGAAGTGGTGATTTCTGCAAGGTCGAATGGGGGAGTCAACATGTTTTATCTAGGAAAATATGGTCTTAACATAAGTTAAGCCGCAGGAAAACAAATTATCCAGGAAACATAGTGATTTAAGTATTCAACAAAAAAATAGGATTGAAGCGACAACTACGCAATAACCATTGGGATTTTACCATCCAAAATGGGCGATATACCCTCCGGAAATCAAATCTGGCTGAGAAGTCACCCTTTTTCATGAACAAAACCATCAAAACAGGTCGATTTTTTTTAAAAATATTTTGGTGTTGAATTTTCCATTGCAGGTTGGATCACCAGCACCTTCACAAGGGGGCGTTATGTCATAGCTGACTTTGATCTTTCTCCCTTGTTTGGAGCTGACCTGGCCCCAATGTTTGTTAAAGGACATGGGGTTCCCTCGAATAAGGCTTCAGCATGAATTTACAATGAACATGTGGGTATGGATCAATACCTATTAATACAATTTTTAGGGGGATGAACATCCATTTACCAGCTATTTTGATGTTCACCAGGGGTACAAGGTTTTGACACACTGCCATGTCAATTTTACTGCTACATTTTTGAGGGTATCCAGGTTCCAAAGATGACTGCCTCACAGGCTGAGAGCGAAGAGAAGATGGTGGAAATTGTCTCGGAGACCATGGTTACCCTCGGTCGCTTGGAGAACCGACAGCCATGAATCAACTCTGCAGAATTTTAAGTCATGGCTTCAGACATGGCCCAGAGGCTCAGGGTATACTGATTGAATTGAACAAAAAGTGGGGATATTCAACCGCAACTGTACTGGGACAAAAATAGGTGGTAGGTAAACATGGCAATGGAAAACCACCAGATGAACACATATCTATTTCAAACTGGGATTTCAGACTACTGTAGGGCCGCAAGGGAAATCAATTCACAAAACATGGGGATATCAAGCAACATCAAGCAACAAAAAGTGGGTTAGTGGTGAGGAACAGCCCCTGCATGGGGTCAATCTATGTAGTGATCGGCGTGTAGCCAACAAGAATCGGATACGCTATGACCGCGATGATATGTTTTGGGGATATGACATCTCTTGTAGCCTGGCAATGGAACATGTTGAATTTCCAGAGGGTGACCTATGAACATTGGAGGAACTCTAGGATTCGACGAACAAAAGGGGATACGATTAGTGGGGTATTGAAGCAGTCATGGATGTATATTGAGTATGGGTCAAAACTGTTTCGAGTCACAGGATCCCAGAATTTGGAAAAGGGGTTAGCGGTTAGCGTCCTTCAACAGTCTTAGAACGCCTTGGCAAATCTGTGAGAGGCTCTGGGCTTTGACATAAACCTATGGTGATTCCCAAAGAGAGGATCCGTGGCAAGTGGCTTGTAATCACAATCTTGGGGCTAGTTGCCCCAGTCAAAAAGCACCGAAGATGATTTTTCCACGGTGGATATGGCCATTGTTGGGTTCCATGTTAAATTTGAAGGGTGTATGCCCATTCCTGTTTGGTTTGTATCCACTTACCATGTATCCTGACTTGAGGCAAGGAGCCTTCCCAAGAAGATATTGGTGTCTGAAAGTGGGGTGTACCACGCAAATATGGCAACTTTAATAGTGAAAATGCTGATACACCACTCGATGGAATAAGTTTTCAACACATTTTCAAACAAACCCATTCACATCCCATTAATCCCAATGATATATCATGATATTCCATCCAATGAAAATATCCCGTCATATCATATCCCCATTATAATCTCCATCTATCCCATTAATATATGTATATATATATGTATATATATATATATATGAATATCCCATTATGTCCATTCTCACCCAGTATATACCCATTATATATCCATATTTTTGGAAGCGAGGCATGAGCGCCCACACGGACCGTCTCTTGCGCCTGATGGTCGAGAACGGCGTCACCAACACTGCGGTGCTCGAACGTCTCAACGCGGTGCGCTGGGGTGCGGCGGCAGAGTCATGGAAGATCTCACCCGCAGACATGGGATTTTTCAGCAGCAACAGGAGGTTTTTACCTGCAACTCATCATTCAAAGATGTATGAAACAAAAAATTGTGTGCCAAATCTGAGTTAAAGCATTTGACTGCTGTTGGATTTTTGAACCCAGACCAGGATACCGAAATGTGAGCAAACCCACACCATATTGTTGATTTACCTTTTATCACCATTATTATCTCATGTTGTTCATGGTTGAATCCCATTAAAACACACATTTTCATGGTTAAATCCCATTAAGATAGCAGTTTTCATGCTTACATCCCATTAGAAATACAATTTTTCAATGGTTAAATCCCATTAAATACAAGTTTTTGACGGTTAAATCCCATTAAGATGCCCGTTTTTCAGGGTTAAATCCCATATAATCCCATTTAAATACAATATTTCATGGTTAAAAACAATTTAACATCCAAGTTTCCATGGTTAAATCCCGTTAAAGATCTCATTTTCCATGGTTAAACATTTCGAATCCATTTTCCACGGTTGAATTCCATTTAATTTAAATAGCAGTTTCCATGGCTAAATCCCATTAAGATTGCGGTTTGCATGGTGAAATCCCATCAAAATACAATATTTCATGGTTAAATCCCATTGAAATACCATTTCATGGTTAAAACCCATTTAACATCCAATTCTTCATACTTATATAAATTGCATTGAAAAGACAATTTTCCATGGTTAAGTCATTTGGATCAATTTTGAGCCTATCTTGGCGCTATGTTGGATCCATGTTACAGCCATCTTGGGCCTATAGGGCTGATCTTGTGGATTGCAGGTGCTTCCCCAACAATGCGTGTGCAGAAAAAAACGCCTCGGCACCTCCGGTGTGGGCGGAGTTCATGCTTAAATCAAATCCCAAAAACAAATTCGTAATTTTCCATAGTTAGATCCCATTGATATAGCAGTTTCCATGGTTAAATCCCATTAGAAATTCAATTTCCCATGGCTAAATCCCATTAGAAATTCAATTTCCCATGGCTAAATAGTATATTTCGGGGAGTTGGCCATCCATGGCTCCATGCGCCAGGAACGTTGCATGGAGATCAACCTGCCTTGGGCCTTGGTGGATGCCTCGCAGCGTCGTTGGGTGAACGAGAAGATGAACATGGGCCAGGATGGTGGTGTCCCAGGTGAATGTTGATCACATACCATATAATTACTATGGATAGGTATATGTTTGTATATGTATGTATGCAATGTAATGTAATGTAATGTAATGTAATGTAATGTAATGTAATGTAATGTAATGTAATGTAATGTGATGTATGTATGTATGTATGGGAAAGTATGGGAAAGTATGGGAAAGTATGGGAAAGTCATCCAAGTGGATGGCTGTTCTCCAGGATCAAGGTGGAGCCATCGAGAAGGAAGACCCTTTCAAGAAGCTCTTGGAGGTGAGCCACTGGCTGGGTGGGATGAACCTATCTGTAACAGGTTGGCAGAACCAAGGAGGCTGGTGATTTAACCAAGAAAGACGGTGCTTATATATATATAGTTTTAAAAACGATGCTGATTTATCTAAAGAAAACAAGGAGCAGAAAGGGCGATTTAACCCATACCCACAATGGTCTATCATCCAGTATTAAGATGGAGTGTGGTCACCAGTAAAACAAAAACTGGTTGACACGTCAAAGGATGACATCTCAAATGTTTCATAGGGCAGCAGAACGCAAGCGAAATTGAGGTTTTAGGAGCACAATTGGGATTTGACCAAGCAAATTGATCCTGCGGAATGGGACAACACCAGCAGACATGGGATAGGAAAATCATGGATCAAAGCCAGAAACATGGGGATATGGTTGCAATCGACATGGATGGGGACAGAGTCATACGGATACAACCAACAACTGGCGGGAGGATCAGAATAGCAGTTCGTGCGGAAGACCTTGTGGCTGCATGATTAAGACAAAATTTCTATCTACCAATCGCAGTGATTGGAGTTCTTACGTTTATTCAAATGGTTCAATTGGGTATGGGCCTCATTCGGAGCACCAATGTTAATTTTTCATGTTTAGACATCCATTTTTGGGCCAATGGTTTTGAACCCCCGTTTGATGAGTTGACCGTCTTGCATGGTTATTGTCCCAGCCTTTCGCACTATGCTTCATCGGATTCATAGCTTTATATTGATTATCTACAGTATCTATCAACCGAATTGATGCAAGAGGGAGGATCCAATGGTTTTGGGTTTTCTCATTGGATGAACATGTGCTATTCTTCTACCGTCTTGATTATTGACTATCTTGCTTCTTGTCGGTTTTGTTAGTAAGCCCAGTACATTTTTTCGATTTAATGTCCGCCTGTGTTAGACACAACGGACAGAACCAAACCACTACATGGATGGTCACCAATAGCCCCGAAATTGCTCCTCATGTCCGTCATTTGGGTATGCATCAAAATTCATTGTCCACGAAAAAAGGTTGTTTTTGTACTCATACTAATGTTAGCAAAGCACTAGTAAACACAGTAAACCATCTCCAATTTGACCATAAATGATTGGTATAAACCCTCAATCCATATGGATTTATGACCTTGCTTTACCAACATTAAATGATCATTATCAACCATTAATAATCACCATTAATTATCATATCATTATTAACCATTCATAGCGATTAATGGTCATTATTCACCACTATATTAACTATTCGTAACCATTATTAACATTAGTAACCATCATTTTTTAATTTAACCATTATTAACCATTATTAACCATTATTAACCATTATTAACCATTAGTAACCATCATTTTTTAATTGTCAATTGATTTTCGCGTCAGTTCGTTGTGCATATCTTGGAGTTGCCCACGCTGCCCGCTTGACCAGGCCAACCGTATGCGCATGACCGACAAGAACGCCCAACACGCCTTGCCGGGAATGCCGCACGTTGGCACGTGGGCACGTTTGCACGTTGAAGCCAGAAGCCAACAAGATAATCATTACTTATAGTTATCCAGTAAAATAGATAGTTATCCAGTTACCAGATACCATAGTTATCCAGAAATAGATAATAGATAGTTGATAACTATGGTATCCCGAGTTACTTAGTATTGCAATCGGTCAATCAATCGATCTATCAACCTGTCCCGAGGATCATGAGCGGCATCGGCGGCATGTCCACCCCACCCTTGGCGGGGCAACGTGGCAGCCAGGTTGTTATGCAGTGGTAATCATAAGATTGATAGTGGCCATAATAAGCAGCATATTTATGGTTGTTGTTGTGGTTGTTGTGGTTGTTGTGGTTGTTGCAGTTGTGTGGGTTGTTGGGGTTGTTGTTCTTGTTCTTGTTGTTGTTGTGGTTGCTCTCGTTACTCTTCTTCTTCTTCTTATTCTTCTTGTGGTGTGCTGTTGGTGTTGGTGGCCTTGCAATGTTTGCATCTGAGGATGGCCAACATGAATTTGGGAGCCATGGAGGATCAGCTGGGCGTGACTTGCCTTGAGAGACCTCAATCTTTCCACGGGGCGTTACCCTTTCTTGGCAATCAACCATTGAACAGTTGCTCAATTTTTGAATAGTTGTATCATGGTGTATCCTTGGATTCCTCCCCCTTCCTTTTAATGGAATGCTTGAGGTATCTTGAGGTGTTTCCGAATCTATTATGAAAATTCAACGCTTCAGTGGTTGATCTAGTGGCCGTTCTTCCAAACCCAGGATATCGTCAATCGCGCCTTGATGCCCTTCCAGGTGGACATCAGAGTGGTAATCAAATTGTCACACTTTGAGCCATGAAAAGGTGGATCAAACTCCAGCAGTCATGGGACATCATAGCTAATATGTATATATATATATAGATACATAGAATATATATATATACACTCATATATGTGTGTGTATATATATATATATATATGCACACACCCACACATACGCCGGTATGTGTATATATATATATATATTCTACACATTGTTGGTGGTTTCATAGTTTTTCAAGAACTCTCTAGGATGGTCGGCATGTGTAAACACCGTCTAAAGACCATCCAAACACCACAATCCACATGGTATTTGCCAAATGTGTGTCAATCTCCAGATCCTTGGTGGATGCGCCAGCTTCACGGCAGGAGGCTGTGATGACCAAGTTGCAGATGATGGAAGAAAACATGCAACGCCAATTGGAGACCACCCAGGAATTCTCCGGGTCCAGGGTCCAGGGTTGAGGACCTTTGGAAGGCGAAGAACATGTTTTTTTGTAATTTCTTTGGGTTGCTTTTGAGTTTGGGAGGTCGAAAAAACAACTGAAGCTTTGTCACTGACAACTGGAAGATCGCCAACAATGATGTATGGAGAGGGTGGTGAATACTGTACCCATTTTGCGGTATTCAGTTCATTCGAGCCATTGGACGATCGATATTCTATATACATGTTGCTAAATATTTTACAACTTGAAATCCTCCAGAATTTCCACAACCAGTCATCTACTTAGTGAGTCCAAGTAGTCTCTATTTCCATCTTTACCAGGGGCGATTCCCCAAGGACTAAACTAAACACTTTTTGCCATTTTCGCCACCAAGCGAGCATAGAACTGTTGGTGGTTGTGACCTAAGAAATGGTTTAATGATGTTTTTATATAACCTCTGGTTACTTAACGTAGCTATGGAAAATCACCATTAAAAGATGGGCAAATCATCATGTCTATAATCTATAGATGGGAGTTCGCAAACTGTCAAATCACCAGAGGGTATCCATCTATCATCTACACACTATATATACATACCCACTATAATTCCACTATATAGCCACAAAAAATATCCATTTGTATCCATTGGTACTATACAGTATTTCCACTATAATTCCACTATGTATATATATATATATACACACTATAATTAATTCCGTTATATATCCACTCCCATTGGTACTACCTCCTTTCGCCCCTCCTTTCGCATTTCCAGGAGGCAATCTCCCAGCGCATGGACTTTTCTCAGGCGGGAAATGGAGGATTTTGACCGTTGACCAATGGCTGGGGAAAAACCATGGCTTTTAGCCATCATAGAATTGGTTTTCCTATGATTTCCAGCAGATTTTCCTTTTCAATTTTTGGGAGACCTCTAAATTTGGCCAATGTTCCTAAGATTTGCCACCCGTCTCTGGGGTGTTTGCGACTTTCCGAATTTAATGCTTGTTTCATGTGCAGTCTTCCCTTGTTTCACAGCCAGGATTTTCCAAACATCCCAACTTGTTGCTACAAAATCCTTACTTTGTTGCTTCATAGCTCTCCACTTGGTTGCCTCAAATCAGCATCAGGTTGCACAAATCACACATTTTTGGCGCCCTGAACGCCCAAATCCGCCCTGACGCCCATTTTCCCGGCGACATTTCAGGTGGCCATTTTGCAGACGGTGAACGCCTGCCAAGTTCTTCTGCACAAGTTGGATTCATCTCAGGCGCGGGGTGAAACACCCATGGGAGAAACCCAGGATGAAAAACGATTTTTCTCCATTGACCCACAGGGGGCTTGAGTTGTGTACAATGTACCAAAAGTTTTGGGTGATATATATATATATATATGCATATATATATATATGTATATGCATATATATATGCATATATATATATACACTATACGTTGAATTAATTTGATTATTTAAATATACATACACTTCAATGTCTTGGCTTGCAACCTTTTCTTCACCTTTTTTTCAGGAGAGCGTTGTGCAGAAGATGGACTCTCAGAAGGCGTGCCGATGTGGTGGGTTTGGCTGTGGGATTTCTGATCGACGATTTTTCAACTCGCCAGGTCAGTGTGGACAACTTGTTGAACCACATCACAGGCGGCTGGCGAAGCCCCAGGGAACCCGATGTGGTTATTTCATGTAGCTATGGACAATTTAATATTTTGACAGGTAAATCATCATTTCTATCATCTATAAATGTATATATATATGTACATAGCAGGTAAATAATTTATCATCAATCATCTACAAATAGGAAATTCTCCACAGCTATGTTAAACCAAAGGGTATTGGTGGCTGGTGACTGGTTTGAGGCAAAACATCCACACCTTGGTGGCTGAGATCCTATGGAAATTCCGTGGATGAAATCCAAACAGCGTCAGAATGTGTTACCTCTGGCAACTGAAATGCAAAATCTTGTGCATACCAAATGGGAATGTTTTTATCGCCCATGATTTTTTTATGGATTATAATACATTATAAATCATTTTTACCCATTCCCAATTTCTGAAAATGAAGTTCCCCTGAAACACCAAACATAACCATTTGCCTAATATTACCATGATGGATTACCGAAAGCTCGGTCCAGCTCGGCCCTGGCTCGGTGGGTGCAGGTGCCAGTGACACCACCAAGCAAGCCCTGTTGGATACCGTGCGAGTGCCCGGTGCGGTGGCATTTTCCCGGTGCAGAAATGGTGCGTGTTTGGCATCAAAGAATGGGGCTCATCCAGCAACTGATTGAAACCAGGACAATCCACGACTTACACTATTTATGGGTTTGTCCATGGGGTAGCCGATTTTCTGACAGCCCAAGAGAGTATGTGATGTGAAACACAAGATCTCCCTATCTCTTTCTATTTATATGCACATGTATGTCAATGCTATATAATTATATACATGTATGCTATATACATGTATGCTATATAAGATGCTATATTACATATATTAGATTAATACACATTTTGTATTATGTATATATACATGGACAGATGTGCTGAGCGATCTGCCATTTGCCACGGACGTCACTTTGTGACGTGTCGAAAAGCCATGAAGACAGCCGAGGTGACCAACTCTTCCAGCGTCTTGTTGCAGAAGTTGGACTCCACACAGCAGGACTGTCAGCTGGTGACCTTTTGAACAGTGGGGGTATAATCAATAATAATGGTATATTTCACAGCAATACCTGGTAAATCAATGTGTATAATATATACACTATTAGTGGGTAAACAATGGTATATTTTACAATAATAACTAAGAATAAGCCTGTTTATATTGACCATTAATGTTGACAAAGCAATGATAAACCATCCCCAAAATCACCATAAATGGGTGCTATATGGTGCTATAATACTATAAACCATCAAAATATGGGTGGATGATCATTGCTTTACTAACACTAGTCATAAGAATTGTGGACATACAGAGGTTTTTTTGGGACAATGATCCTTTTTTTTTCTTGGGGATTAATCCCATACTGGTATGTATTATATATATATATCTATATTATAATGTGAGATCTATAGTATATCTATAGTATATATATATATCTATAGTATATATATATATCTATAGTATATCTATATTAATATACTGGAATGGGACACTTGGGATCTCACGGGGATTTTTGTGACTGCCAATGGGACTGCCAATGGGATTTTTGTGACCAGCGACATCTAGAGATGGGTCTGAAGATGGTGCACACCCCAATGGTGTTAATTGAGTGAGTAATGTAAACCTTGCGGTATGCCAAAGTGTTTCTGTAAGACACCAAGCTACGGCAGGTGCAAAAGGGATCCACAAGCATGGGATCTAGAGGCTGTGTTCGAATGGTTTTCCATCCTGGACCGTGTAATCTCCATTAGTGTGAGCATGTCCTTGTTTGCATTTCAATTAGGAAGCAGAGTGGGTGAAGCCCGGAACCCAGGGCCACCTCTAAGTGTCGCCATACTTAACCCGACCGCCATGCTGAATAAAACAGAAGCAATTTTAAAGCTGCCTGCGCAGGTCATGTTCTGTTCTGAAACGTCAGTTACTGTCGCCGCATCTAAGATTCTTGACAAGGAATTTAAAAAGCATAAAGCAAAGGCTTTTTGGAGTCAATTTGCATCACCCAAAATTCAAACACACGACGGTAGACCATCCTTGCGTGGAGATGCTGTTGGTTGTGCCATTGTTTCACAAGTTCATTCTCGAACAGTCCGATATAAATTTCCTGAGGTTCTTTGGGAAACTTGTCGTATATGTGCTGCTATCATCAGGTGTGAAGGCTTTGAAGCCTTAATGATATCCATCTACGGATTCGTCCATAATGGGCTCCATGATCTTAAGAGACTCAATGATATCATTTTGGCGCATGTTGTTGAACTGATTTCATTTGTCAATTTACCCTTTATTATTGGGGGTGATTTCAATATCGATGTTCAGACCCTACCTTCATTTCAGCTCCTCCGACAAATGGGGGCTGTTGAAGCTTTTAGTTTTTTCCAGAACAAGTTTGGTATTCAGTTGCCACCGACTTGCAGAGGCACAACTAGGAATGACACGTGTGTGCTGCATCCGATTTTCGCTCAAAGCGTTGTTAATATGCATGTGGTTTCGGAACCGCTTTTTGAACCGCATTCACCTTTAATTGTTGATTTCGATATTCAGACGTACTCTGAACATTTAAACACGTGGAAGGTTCCACGTTCGTGGGCTTGTCTTGGGGTTCAACCACAGCACTTGGAAGCCTTTTATATCAAACATTCGCGTGGTGTTGAATTGGCAATTGGAGACATCACTTCCGTTGAGTCTGGGGCGGAGGTTCTGGCGCAATGGTCCAGTGCTGTTGAAAAGTCAGTTGACTCGTCTCTCCGACTTCAACATTCTGAAAATCCTACGATCAATCCACTGCCAAACTTGCCACCATCCTACAGAGGAAGATGCTGCAAACAAATGCCTTCCAGCAATGCTGGTCGTAAGACACCCAAAAGTGACCTCCATGGGGGATATAATCCTCCATGTGAAGTCTTTAAATTGACAAATCATCATAAAATCCGACAGGCCAGACGAATCAAGTCTTTAATTAGGGCGGTTCAGAGTAGTCTCAGTATTGATAGTTCTAACCACCCATTTCCTTCCATTAGTCATTTGCCTCAACTGCGCAATGAATGGCAGGCCATCTTAAAGGCTAGAGGGTACGGTAAGGCATGGGCCCATTGGATATTAGCTTTTGATCTGGTCACATGTCTACCAACTTTTTTTCCCACTCTGGATGAGTTGTCTATGTTTTCCCAGCTAACTGAGCTTGATTGTACTGCCAGTTGCAATCAAGAAAAGCTTGCAAAGAAAAAATCTTTTAAGCATTTGATTCAGGTGGATAATGACCAAAATTTTGGTTCTATTACATATCGCATTATCAAAAACAAAAATACTCCCAAACTGGAGGAGGTGCCTTTCCGAGTTTTTGCCAGTGCAGCACTCTTGCGGAAAATCCGCGATGCACCCTTGCAAGTCAAAATTGATCAGGATATTCAGTTCATGCAACATCAGCCTGCTAAATTTGGTGATGCGACTGTCATGATCGACCAGCAGTGTCAAAGAGTCATCACAATTAGACTTATCTCTGGTAAACTTCCTGCCAGAGCAGAGCTCTCACAAATGAGAGTTACGACATGTGCCAGCGAGGTTTTCCAGGAATTTTATAAATTTTGGTCACCGATGTGGCAGAGAGATTCATATCAGTCTCAATTCTCGGATGATGATTGGGCCTCGTTTCATGACGAAATTCAAAACGTTCCCATTCCTCACATGCAAATCGACATTAACCTTGAAGATCCAGAAATTTGGATGCGCACCATTAATAAGTTAAAGCCTGGTAAGGCTGAAGGAATTTGCGGATGGCGGCATGAGGAACTTCAGGCCTTACCAGCTGTTGCCATTAAGCATTTAGCCAAGATATTTGCTGCACTTTGGTCGTTTGGTATGCCTTCACACCTCATGCAGGGTCGAACGGTTCTACTTGCCAAAAACTCGGAACCCAAATCCATGCACGATGGTAGACCCATTACTATTCTAAGTGTCCTTTATCGTTTGGCATCAAAGATTGTGTTTGACCAGGTCATTCAAACATGGATGATTTTCTTGCCTAATGCTATCAGTGGTGGTATCCCTGGCAGAGGAGCACGTGACCATGCTTTGAATCAAATTCTCCAGGTGGAGAAAGCCATAATTGGCAAAAGTGGCCTATGCGGGTCATGTATTGACTTAGTTAAGGCCTTTAACCTGATTCCCCGTAGACCCACGGCCATAATCCTGAATAACCTTGGCATTCCACAAAACATCCTGGCGTTTTGGACCAACTCACTTGCCAGAATGCGTAGGGTACCTCAGGCTTTCGATTGTATTGGCCATTGCATGGAAAGCACTACCGGCTTGCCAGAAGGTGATTCTTGGAGCGTTTTGGGAATGCTAGGAATTAGTACTTTCTGGTACTTCAAGTTATTAAATCCCTGTCTAAAACCACATTCCTATGCGGATAATTGGTCCTGGCTCACCAAAAATCAAAAACAAAATATCTTGGCATGGCAGAAAACCCTAAACTTTGTTTCATCCCTACGTATGGTAGTTGACACAAATAAGAGTTGGGTTTGGGCCACTACCAAAGACCTTAAAAATAGTTCATCTGACATTTCACTTTTATTTCCATCAGGACAAACGTCTATCCCGATTAAAAATGTAGTCAAAGATCTTGGTGAAATTGTGCAATACTCACTTCAACAGTGGGTGCAACCCATTGCTGATAAAATTCAAGAAACCGTACAGCGTGTAAAAAGATTATCGTGGATTCCTTGTACCCTACAACAGAAAGCTCAACAAATCCAGAATGGATGTTGGACATTTGGCTTGTATGGGGCAGATCTTCATTTCGTGGGGTTGCAGCATTTCACAAAGCTGCGTAGAGCAGCAACTTCTGCTTTGGCCGGGAATCACAAGTCCGCTTCATCCTGGTTAACTGGGACCATTATTTCCAAAAACCTGGATGATCCATTGCTATTCGTTGTTCTCAGCGCCATCCGGGTCTTGCGTCGTTTGGCTTTCCATAGTCCGGACCAGGCTAGGGAATTTGTTGAGCTTGCTATTTCGGCGGTGGTCCCATTCCCTTGTGGACCTGCAACGACCTTTCAAAAATACATGCGGATTCTGGGATGGAAAATTGCCTTAAATGGTGACCTTACTCATATCTCGGGTCTAACTGTCAATTGTCTGCACAGTTGTATTAAAGAACTTGTTTTGAAATTTCGTTTGGGTTGGACAGTATTTGTTCAAGAACAGATTGAGCATAGGAGAGGTATTCCTTCTACTCCGTTTGATGCAATGTCAACAAAAAGAATTTTTCAGGCTTTGTCAGATACTGATCAAAAAGCCATTATCCTTAATATGCTGGGTGGATGGCAATCCCAGATCGTTCAGTCCAAGTGGAATGCCGAGACCTCGGGTGCTTGCCCTTTATGTGGACAGGAGGATGATCAGAAGCATAGGTTTGTCGAATGCCCAGAGTTGTCTCACATTCGACAATTACATCCAGATGCTGTGGCCATCCTGGCACATCATAAAAAAGATTGGAGATATCACCCCATAACTTGTCTTCCTACTGACTATGAACATGTTCAACAATGTATCACTACTACCACATTTAACCCTGACTTACCTGACCTTAATTTGGGTGGGCAATCAGTGAGGTTTTTCACTGATGGAGCATGTGAAAACCCAACAAACCCATTTTTTCGTAGGAGCGCGTGGGCCATAATTTTGGACCTCTCTAAAAGCGCTGAACACCGATCAGCGATTCTACAACAATCAGCGTCTCAGATGGAGTTTAAAAACATTTTTCAATGTCTTGGAACTGGTTTGACAACTGGAAAGCAGTCCATTGATAGGGCTGAACTTACGGCAGTGGTAACTGCTTGTAGGTGGTCGGTTCACGTTGCGCGATGTCGTGCCACTCTTTTCACGGACTCCCAGTACGTTATTAATGTTGTCAATAAGATTCGTAAATTTGGTCCCGTAGTCCCTCTGCATAAAATGGCCAATCCAGACTTGGTCCAAGAGTTGGCACAGCTTTGGAAAGACGAGCTTTTTGCAATTTTCAAAGTCAAGAGTCACCGTCAATTCAATGATGCGAAAGACTATGAGGATTTGTGGGCCATTTATGGTAATTCCTTGGCGGATACCGCCGCTGGTCAAGCTCTTGTTCGTATTCCAGACCTATGTAAGGAATGGATTGAAGATTCCAAAACTAGGCATATGAATGAACAGGAAGCGTTGAAAATAACTTTGTCCTACATAGCACAATTAAATCTGGAAAGACAGAAACTGCTTAAAAGCAAGAATTCAACAACTGAATATGTCCGTGGTGGACAGGCCACCGGTGATGATGCGTGGGCTATTTTGCATGATGTATATCGTGTCCCAACTACCTGCATGACACAAGATGCTCTGCCAATTGAAAGAGCACAAGCGAACTTGCAAGGAACCAATTTTGCATTTCGGCTGTGGGCATGGCTGCAGACCCTGGAGTGGCCTGATCACTCTGTACACTCACAGGAACCTTTCGCCTGGGGCATCTCGTGGCTGGAACTCCTATTAAATTTTTTAGTTATCACGGGGACCATGCCTCCAATCCGCGTCTCCGGACAAGGAAGTAAATCTATTTATGTTAGCTACTTTTCCGTTGAGGCTGAGGCACTTCCACCACGGAAAAAGCATGCTTCTGTTATGTGTTTGATTTTTGTCAACGCTTTGCAAACTCTCAAAAACATATCAGGCAAAGATATTTTGCCGACTTTTGATACCTCGGGTTGCTCATCGCTGCGGAGATTGGGGTATCAGACGAATGCCCAAGGGTTAAAGATACGCCCCATTTTACATAGAAACGCTGCAACTTTATTGGAGCTCAAAAGATTTTTAAATTTGGCCAACCCTAAAAACGTCATGAGCACGCAAATCCAAAAACCTTTGAATCCACCTTCCTTGCAAATTGATGATGTGGCTGAAGATAGTGCGAGGCAACGTTTCGCAAATTACATGAGACTGCAAAAGAGGAACGCTAGGGGTGCTTAAACCCCGCGCCCCCCCCTATTAAAAAAAAAAGGAGGTTGCCTACTTTGGCACTTGCAAATCTGGTCACGCCTTGCGATTCCTCACCCTTCCTATTCTGTTTTGATACCCACTTCCCTTTGGGTTAAATTTTGCGACACTACAATTATGTGCATGATGCATGCTCTCACCGTATACCAACTCTTGGGGCGCTCCGATTGTTGGCCCTGGTCTCCTCTTGACCTTCACGATATTCAGTCACCATAGTTTCAAATGCACTGACCCCACCACCAGAGTCCGGGGCTGTGTCATTATGGATCTCTGAGTTCATGCGAGAGTCGAGTCGAGTCTGAAGATGGTGTGTATACCCCCCAAAAGGGCAATTGTAATAGGGACAATAATGATGATAAACATCAACACTTTTTGGGCAACTATATCTTCAGACAAACCCATTTGACGAATCATCGCGCACTGACTATGCACCGATTCGTCAAGAAAAATGCTAGATTGAATTTCCCAACGAAAAATAGTTGCTAGCAGCGTTCAATCATATTCAATCAGATTGAATATGATTGAACGCTGCTAGCAACTATTTTTCGATGGGACAAAATAATCTTTTTTTTTGCCCGTTAAATCAGCCATTTTCTGGCCTCCAAATTGCCAGCTTCTTCTAGCCCCGTGGCCCAACAGGACCTGTTGAAGCAATCGCACGACAGCTACAAGGTCTTGGGTGAAGTGGCTCAAAAGCAGGCGCTCGCGGCAGTTCCTGTGGTGGTTGGAGAACCATGGGATCTTCAATGGGAATATACCAGTGAGAACATGTGCGTATGGGTGGTGAAAAAATGGGGGATCACCGTAGAGTTGGCAGTTTTGCGATGTGTGGGGGAAAATTCGGGGGATCCTATTTTCAGACAAACCCAAATGGCTATGGATCAATACCTATAGATACCATTTTTAGTGGGATGAACATCCATTTACCAGCTATTTTGGGGTTCACTAGGTACCAGGGTTTTGACCCATCCCCAAATTACTTCAACTTTGCCGTGGATTGGATACCAACACAGTTGGTTGAATTTGGATCTGAATGGATTGAATGAGCCATACCCCTGGGGAGTTAAAGGGTTATGCAGCAGCTTCGAAAAAGCATACCAAAAGACAGAATTATCGAATGAGATTCGAATAAGTCAGGTTATGTATGTTTCATGTGTAAACACTATTAAACGATCAGGTTTTCATGGTTTTCTCATCCTCAAAACGGGTCGAAAACGAAAGTCGCAGAACGCTATGCGCGACAGGACGTGTTGGTCAAGAAGGTGGATTCAGGCGATCCCGACAACGGGAGATGAATCGGAAAATGGGATACAGATATCCCATCACCCGAATAGTAAACACCCCATGGTCCCAATGGAATGTGGAAATTCCCTACTAAACCATGGTTTCGTTTCAGGGGTGTTGAATATTAGGGTGAAGGGATTATAAGCAAGATGATATGTGGGTGTGATCAAAAATATAAAAATGGGGGATAGAGTCGGATAAGGATAATAGCCTGGAACCTGGTCAATTGGATGGATTGTATAGCCAAGCAATAGAAATCAAATATTTCTTGTCAGAATCCATTCCTGTTCGTTCCATGGTTTGATGTTTCAAATTCAAGGATCCAAAGCCATCCGCATTTTTCTTGAAGTCCCCTACTCTTCTATGGTCATGGGCGATTCTTTGGGTTAAAGTTAACCTGTTGGTTGGTGGGATGGTGTTTCAAAGTCATTTTTTCCACTTGGAGGTACAATCCAGCTATATGGTAAGTGTGTAAAAACCACATTATGACCCATTTGGATATGGAATGAATATATATTTATAATATAATATAATATAATATGATATGATATGACATGATATGATATGATATGATATAATATACATAATGTAATATAGTATAATATAATATAATATAATCATATAATATGATATAATATAATATGATATAATATAGTATAATATGATATGATATAATATAATATGATATAATATGATACAATATGATATAATATGATATAACATAATATAGTATGATATAATATAACATAATATAATATATAAACATATTATAGGAATTGTAAATTAAAACCACTTGCTGAGTGGGATGCATGCAGCAATGCGTTTCAAGGTAGAAACAAGGCACCACCCACCGCGTAGGTAACGAGTTCACGCAACGTCGTCTCGTGGAAATGGAGGCCTGGTCGATCAGTTGCGATCTAGACCCGGTAGTGGAGGGGCCCCCTAGTTATAGCAACTTTTTCATGGGCGACATGATGTTGATTCACCATCATGGTAAATCATGGTAATTTCTTGTATAATAGCCTATTATAGGTATGTAAATCATGGTAAATCACTGAACTAAATTGCCGGATGATTTACACCTGAGATCAAGTTGACAGATGTTGATTGATGGTTAGATGTTAGAAGTGGGTTTATACTGATGATGCTTAGAAGTGGATTGGATGATGCTTTGAAACCTAGATTCTTAGCAGTCATCTAACCATGTATCTATGTTTATTGGTTATAAACCATTTCAACCATGGTTGATTTTCATCTAGTTTATGATAGTTACATCTACCCTCTGGTTAACTAACATAGCCATGGAAAATGGCCCATTTATAGATGGTTTACCTATTAAAAATGGTGATTTTCCATGGCTATGTTAAATAACCAGATGTTTATGATAGTTGAAATGGTTTATAACCAATAAACACTATAATCCACTATATCATAGATAGTTTATAATGGTTTATGATAGTTGCATCTAACCACTATAATCCATTGACCAATTGGTTCATTGGTCAGTCACTGGACGCCGCACAGGGCACAATGGACCGCAAGATGACGGAGACCAATGATTCCGTCTGCAAGTCGCAAGCTGACAGCTCCTTGGAAAAAATGCTGGGGATTTGCCAGAGAAAATGACAAAAATTGCAAGGTATATATATATAATGAAATATGATGAAATCTGTATATAAATAATTATATATGTATATACATATACATATACATATATATATATGTATATGTATGTATATATATATATATATATATATATATGTATAGTATATGTATATATGCAAAATTTAATACATATACATGGAAATTTCAACTTTCAGGAGCCCTTGGCTCACTATGCAGGAACGGCCCTAAGTTCCATTCTTTCACATTCATCTGTTTCCCAGGAGGGTGAGTTGTACAGCTTGCACTTTCAATTTTGGGTTTGGTCCTAACACGCCAGGGACTCATCATTTGTCCTTTTGTCTGATAGGGAAAAAAACAAATTGGGTGAACACTTCGAAAGCAACAGGAACACAAAGAACACACAAGGAATTATTTCAACACTCGGCGGAGTCTCAACAACTTGGAACAGCTCAAACTTGTTTACACTCCGAAACTGCATGAATATTTGTATATAATTTTTTATAATGAAATGTTGGGCACTTCCGAAAAGGTCTGGTCTTTGGGTAGCCATTGGGCAATGTGTTGCTTTCCATGAGGCACCGCACATCTCCTCACCAATCTGCGTATTGACTTGGGCAAGTTGGCAGAACAGGCCCGAAACGGGGAATTTGGGGCCTGGCACGTCTTGGTTAGAACTAAGGGTTAGCATTTTTTAGCCAAGAGTTATCCATATATTTTATATATAACCCATATATCCATATATAGCCCATATAACGCTCAAATCATTGCACAAAATAGATGAGGGTATTCCATGTATCGGGTCGCAAGATGGTGAGTAACCACTTAGCAACTGGCATGAATGGGGTTGGACAAAGCTTTTGCATTTGGGGAAGAGGAGGACAGACGTTGCCAAATATTCATGCCTATCCACGGTTCAAGATGACAAAACCCTTACGCGCTCACACGATGGGACCGGACATTTGCCACTTGGTTACGTGTCCATCTACTTATGAAATCCAGTCCAGCCTAGTCTGAAAGAATCCAATTCAAGTCCAAATTCAAGTCCTTAATCATGCCTTAATCTTCTTGGTTATATCATCTTCTCTGTGCCATGGCAAAACTGGCCTGTAAAGTTCAAGATGCAGTTTCCAGGGCCGGGGACGGTCATGATGTTACAGGCTTTGTGTCTATTTTCTCAAGCAGACGGCATGAGGTATTTTCACCACTGCACATTGACTAGTTAATTGACTTTTTTTTTTGTGTTGATATCTTCAATCACCAACCAGTTAACCATCCCACAAATGGGTTTGTCAACAAATCCAGTACCCAGTACCTCCAAATGCACTTATTTATCATCAGTTTGCCAAGTATTGAATTGTCATTTTTGGATACCTCATTCCTGGGCAAACCTAAAGACTTAAGTGGATTTATCTTAGTTTCAATAACTTGGGTAGCACTGATTTTCGATGGTCAAGTACCCAGTTTTATTTGGTAACATCACCATGTTCGATTGCTGACCTCAATTTGTGTTTTTTTAATGGTAAGCTGGCAGATAGCTTAAGATAGAGACTCATCACCCATCCCAGGAGTAAAGTAGTCTTCCACTTCCCATTTAAAAATCATTTGGCAGGGTCTATGTTAGGGGAATGAAGGGTAAATCTTTCAATGGCGAGGGCAACAGCATGGTGGACGCCACCGAGAAGTCTGCCGCAGTGCAAGAGGTGGCCGCCAGTGGCCGCCGCTGCCTGGGACGTCTTGTAGGGATTCGTGAGGATTTGACCAGCAAAAATCCATGGGAGTCACCAGCATTTACCAGCAAAAATTAGAACAAACACGGGAGCACCGGGAATTGATCCAGCAAACATGGAGGTTTTGTCATCAAAGTGGTCACATCCACTGGAGATCGGCCCATTTCAGACGTTGGACTCGTTGGACGGTGTTGACCATGGACTTTTAGGGGTCGTTGTGTTTGCTATGCTATATATATATATATAAGGGATAGGTATAGATATTCGTATGCATATATGCATATGTGTATGTATGTATTTATGTATGTATACATGTTTATACATGCTGCCATGGTTGGTTGACAGGTTGATGGGGGGTACCCGTAAGAATCTTCGGCCAAAGTTAGCGGCAGGAGCGAATGGCTGACGTACGCCGCCAGAACATGTGCCTTGGAATGGCCCAGCCGAAGTAAAGCTGGAACCTTCAATTTTTGTATGCAATTCATTTTCTCAATCCATTTGTTGTTCCATGTTGGTTTCAAAAAGGAAGCCATCCCATTCTTGAAGTCCCCAAGTTTCAACCGCATTTCAGGCATCCCTATCAACAGTCGATCAGTTGATGTTGCAATTCTTGTTGGTTGGAATAAACGGTTAGATGCCCGTTTTGCTGGTTCTGGCAGCAACAATTTTTGTCTATGCTTGTTGCTGAAAGCTTTTGCAGGCAAGTACACGCCTCAACATGACGATATGACGTGTCAATATTGCCGTTGATTAACTCCTCTTTGATAGGCGAGATCCGCATATATATATATATATGTATGGGTTTGTATCCAATTCCATCGCATGGTTTATCATCAGAAAATTGCAATAAATTGGGTGTCTTCCCCTCATTTTTTTCGACCAATTTTGGACAAACCCAAAAACTGCATGGAGTCTCCTTCAATAAGTTGATCAACCCCCCATTGTTTTTAATGGCAAACTCCGTAACTCCCCGTGTCTGTTACATAGTGAAATCCCCATTTCTAATGGACACTTCCCAGATTTACGACCTCAGCGTGTTCCTTCTCAGGATGATCATGGATATGTTGACCAACGCTCAAGAGACCATGCACACCAGCGCTGAGTCCCTTCAGAGCTTCACTCGCTCGGAGCGGGGGAAGTGGTGGATTTGGGGTGGTAAACCTGTCAGAATATCCTCGAAATTGAACGATTCACGACATGAATTTTCAATGGTAAATCTGGGTATTATCTATTGGATTATCTATTTGATTATCCAATATCCAATGATCATTCAATTCACTATCGAATCTGTCCACTGTTTATAGGAATTGAAAACCCAAGGCACGTCTTGGTTACTTTAAAAAGGTTGATTTTTTGGGATATTTTGTGACTCAGCTAGGATTTTATCCATGTGTTTTCAGTGACATAAGTTGCTCCTGACAACGACTCAGGTCATTGTTGGTGGTAGATCCCATGCTGTACATCACCCCAAAAAATCATGAATGCCTGGTCAATGGCCATTTCAGGATCCCAAATTGGAGGTACCTACCATATATAAGGCCTATGTAAGGGAATATCCCAGCAAAATATGGCCAGAAATATGGTACAGTACCTCCATTTTAGGATCCTGAAATTCCCATTGACCTGGGTTAGAACCCAGACTTTGAGGAAAAGCCTACCTGCCTACCTTTCTCGAAGAATTGCTCACTTTTGGATTTCAAACAAACCAAGTGTTGGATGGCACAACTGTGCGACCCGAGCCCCTTCAAGAATCTTGGGTCTTAAGGTTCGAACCCACCCCGAAAGAGATTGACAACACACAAAATTGGAGCGTTGCGAAGCCACTTTATACATTTGCCAAAAGTGTAGACATCTATAGATAGATAGATAGATAGATCGATAGATAGATAGACAGATGGATAGATGGATAGATGGATAGATGGATAGATGGATAGATGGATAGATGGATAGATAGATAGATCGATAGATGGATAGATGGATAGATGGATAGATGGATAGATGGATAGATGGATAGATGGATAGATGGATAGATGGATGGATCAGATCAGATCAGATCAGATCAGATCAGATCAGATCAGATCAGATCAGATCAGATCAGATCGATCCATCGATCGATCGATAGATAGATAGATAAATTTATAGATTCATAGATGGATAGATAGATGGATGGATGGATGGATAGATAGATAGAAAGATAGATAGATAGATAGATAGAGAGAGAGAGAGAGAGAAATAGAGATACAGCAAGACAGACAGACAGATAGATTGATAGGTAGGTAGGTAGATAGGTAGGTAGATAGACAGACAGACAAATAAATAGATAGATAGATAGATAGATAGAAAGATAGATAGATAGATAGACAGATAGATATATATATATAGATAGATAGATGGATGGATGGATGGATGGATGGATGGATGGATGGATGGATCGATCGATCGATCGATAGATAGATAGATAGATAGAGAAAGAGAGATAGAGAAAGAGAGATAGATATACAGACAGACAGACGGACGGACGGACGGACGGACAGACAGACAGATAGACAGATAGACAGATAGATAGACAGATAGATAGATAGGTAGGTAGATAGGTAGGTAGGTAGGTAGATAGACAGACAGACAGACAGACAGACAGATAGAGAGAGAGAGAGAGAGAGATAGAGATACAGACAGACAGACGGACGGACGGACGGACGGACGGACAGACAGATAGACAGATAGACAGATAGATAGACAGGTAGATAGATAGGTAGGTAGATAGGTAGGTAGGTAGGTAGATAGACAGACAGACAGACAGACCGATAGAGAGAGAGAGAGAGAGAGATAGAGATACAGAAAGACAGACGGACGGATGGACGGACAGACAGATAGATAGTCCTCCAACATATAACATTCATGAATATGTATAAGTTCTCCATAACCCTCCCATAACCAGCCCCCCAAAAACTATGGCAGGAGATCATGCGCGATTCCGCCGCCAACATGGAGATGCAGCTCCGCGAGGCCAACGATTTTTCTGGAAGGATCCGGCAACGCTCCACCGAAGCACAGTGGATTCATGTGGAGAATCCACTTAAGATAAGAATAATCCACTTGGAAATCACGATTTCTATGGATTTTGATTTGGAGTTCAATGCATTCGATTTGGATAACCCAAACCACTACATACTTGAATTGTGATTATCATCATTAAGTATTGTTACACACACTTGAAAGCACATACGGGGGTTGATAATGTTAACTAGTATATGGTTACACTGGTAGTACTACAATGAATACCCCAAGTTTGGCCGAAACAATCAGGTCTGGGAGTTGTTGCGAAGTCAGGTGTGGGGCGGATCATTTTCGGGATACTACCCCCTACGAATTATTCGTAGATCACAGATCATTTGATGGCATTATTTACACCCCCTGAATTGAAAATGGAACCCAATCATGGCCATATCAAATAGGAAAATCATCTTCCAGACCTTATGTTTCGGTTCCATGTTGAGTTTCAAAAGGTGCAGGCGGAGACCAGTGACAGTGGACATCTTGGAACTGCAGGCGGACAATACATGGCATACATCGCATCATCAGTATTATCATCATGACTCTATGAACATGTTCATTGTTTATTTCTACAGTAAATTCCTTGTAGTATATAGAATGTATGCCATTTATAGGTCATTGGGGTTTTGAAATGGCTGAGCAGCTTATGGCACCTCGGACCTCATCAGGTCATCTTGAAGCAGATGGGCAAGATGCAGGACGGGGAGCATATCCTCGACGATGTGACTTGCTTTGTCGAATCATCTATAGTTTTGGACTTTCAACCAACAAGTGACCAACAAGGACCAAAGCCTTTTTCACTGTATCTGAAAATATCTTTTGACTCTCTGTGTTTTTGTGTTCTGCCTTCCTTTCTAGTCTATAGCCTCATTTTTGGGCGGATTCTGGACATGTCTTCCATTTGGCTTGGCAAAGAAGGTCCGAATACGGCGTTTCTCGCAGGAAGCGTTGCTGGGAGGCGAGGAGGATGAAGCTGGTCAGAAGGGAATGAATCTCAAGGCCTGGACGTCCATGGCATGTGGGTCAAGGCGGTCAAGGTTTTTAAATATGTACCCCAAAGCATTGGTAAAACCCCACTAAGTCACTAAGTAATTCTGGATGATTTCTCCATGTCATTGGAAATCTTTGGCATTTGAAATTTTGGAGTACTCTAAAGTCTGAACTTATTGTTGAGTTCACCTCCAGAATCTGCTTCAAAAATGGGCAAATGACCAACAATAGAAGGGTGGACATAACCAACAACCCTACCCGAAGCAAACTGCTGCAAGTGGAATTCATAGCCGTTTTGGAGATAATTTTCCCCAGGCCACGAACATGGGGAATTTCGGCTTCCGTCTACTGATTGTTCAATCATAGATGTTGGCAGTTCCTCGCCCTCTGTCAGGGGAACCCTGGTGGTTTCTAGGTGTTTCTGGACCACTCAAAAGGAATCCCCAGGCTTGGGATGACCACAAGTATCTCAAAAGTTGAACGTATTCAATTTGGAGCTCAATTGGAATCCGAAGTCCATGAACCAATGATTCGGTGTACCGTATACGCCGTATACAGCCAAGTAAATAGGGACAATCCTTTTCTTAACCAGCAATTTT